AAGAGAGAGAGAGAGAGAAAGAGAGAGAGAGAGAGAAAGAGAGAGAGAGAGAGAGAGATATATGCGTGGCAGTACTTGATACGTCCCATCTCTCTTTCGTAATCTCTCCCTTCTCTTTCATCTCTCCTTTCCCCATCTCTCGTCCTTTCTCTATCCTTCTCTCCTCTCTCGTATCTCTCTGCCACGCTCGCTTTCTTTCTCCGTCTCTCTCTCTCTCTCTTTATCGTTCGTGCTTTCACTCGAGCGACTCGGACAAACGCGGCCACGCATTAACGATACACGATAGATCGACGATGATGCCGGAGATCGTCTGCACACACAGAAACGTCGGCACGAGATACGGCTAGCAATTCCACGTGTAAAACCACACGCAAGCGCCCAGCGCGCACTCACCGGACGGGCCCCGCGATACACACACGACGTGCTCTAACCACCTGCGGCCTACGGTTCCTCTCTAAATTACACGATGTAAAAAATAGCGCGCCCACTCGCGACGACTGTCCGTCGTAAAATGCGGTATTTTACAATAACAAAAAAAGTTGATAATTAAGTTATAAAGAGGCTACACTTGCTAAGAAACAATAAAAATTTACAAATCTCATATCTGGCAGTTCATGATCATCGTTTTCGACCGAGAAGATGGCTGCTGCGAAAGTCGATTCATTGAACACAGACGCACGCACGCACACACGCACACACACACGCACGCGTGCAAAAGCACGCACTCACACACACGCACGCACGCACGCACTCATACGTACACACACGCGCGCACGCACGCGCACACGCGCACATACGCACGCACGCACGCATGCGCACGCACACGATGGCTGGCAAGCATGAATGCCTGCACCTAGGCACACAGGCATGTACTTACGTACGTGCAAACACACCATCAGAAACACAAAGGCACGCGCACGCACGCACGCGAACTATAAATCTCAGCATCTCCCTAATTGGATGTAGATGTAATCGTTAGCTTCCAACATCTACTTAGATATAATTTAGAACAACTCTATTGCACAATAAAAGCTTCGGAGCGCCTCTCATTAATAAATACGCTATGATCATTATATATAAAGTAAAAGTATGAGTTCTTAGTATTTTACACAGATTTCTCTCTCCAGTATTTACACAGCGGGCGGCAGTGACGTTGCGGCAGGTGGCGCGCCCTAGCTGCGCTCGCTGGCGTCGCGGACGGTGGTGGCGCCGCCGGCGGACGACAAACATGACACGCGGTTTGATTTGCGATGATCTTACGATGACATAATCTGAATCGGTGAACTCTCTACCGCTGTCTGATTGATTGCCTGCAAAACAAAATAATTACATGAATTAATTACCATTTGAATTATTTTAACCAATTAATTAATTAATCATTAAATAACCGTTTAGCACTTTATTAAAGAATAACACACTTAATTAACTCTAGCAAACAGTAAATAACCGTTGAGTAATATGATAACAACTAACAAAGCTACATACAGTTACCCATAACAATCATTAAATTACCGTTTACACAGATGATAACAATAACAAGCTACATACAGTTACACATAACAATCATTAAATTACCGTTTACACAGATGATAACAAATCACACACACAAGTATACATTTAATTAGCTCTAGCAATCATTAAATAACCGTTTAGTAATGTGATAACGAATAATAGAAATGCACAAGTTTAGTCTTTCTCTATGTTTGCGAATTCTAGTGTCTCAACTATCACATGTTCCACCAGGTGGCGCTACTATGATAGCTAGTCACTTGGTTACAATAAGGAACAAACTCCACGACAGATGGCGCTCTCGCTTGCTCAATTCTACCACTGCCACAAGATGATTTTCGTAAGAATTTCTTACGCTTTTTACTATAAGTTTTACAGTCGACCCCCCGTTACTCAATGTCCTATGTAATACGATGATGTATTTAAACGTTGCAAAGTATTGAAAGCGACCATGTTTGTTATGAGGATTGATAAAATGTGATACGAATACGTTGGCGACATTACTACTATTGTCAATCATTACGCTGTTTTACTAAAACTAGAGTTAGTATTTATCTATTAATTTTTGGATGCTTGACCATATACTAATTTCGAACTTGCTCTTTTTGATACATTTTTCGTATTCTGCTTAACAAGCATCTAATTTGTCACAAAACAAACATGCGAATCATAGATTTTAGAATGTCTGTTCTGGCGCGACTTCGCGGCACGTTGGATTGCCATTTGGATTTCCTCGAAGCTCCGCCCTTTAAAATGTGCTGCATTGTGCAAGTGGTATTAATCCTGGGTGTGGGTAAAGGTGACCAGGCGCTGCATGCAGCTTGAAAAGGAATGAGTTTCAGTGAAGCGGAGGGTGTTATGACAAGAATTCTGAATCGCGCGGTGGGCGCTG